TTTACAGGGTTTTTTTTGGGGGGGGGGGCAGGTCTCACTGTATTGCCTAGGCTGATCTTGGAATTCCTGGGCTCAAGTGATCCTTCTGCCTCAGCCCTGAACATTTTATTTTGTAAATGGAGGGCTTTAACTCAGATATATTTAGGGCATCTCTCTCTGGTTTCCTTGGGCAGCTTAATGTACGTTGTCTAAAACTTCATTGCTCATCTCTTTTCCACAAATATGCTGCTTCTTCTGTATTCCATCTCTCCTTTAGTGGAATCACCTGGTGTTTAAGCCAGAAGCACAGGTGTCCTTCTTGATTCTTTCTCCTTCCATCCCTGTTCAGACACCAGTTTTATGACTGCCTCCTTTCCATTTTTCAGACAATCTCTCCCTCCCATCACCTTTTCTGTGGCTGGAATGACCTCCTCTCTACCCTCCCTCCCTGTTTTTCTTTTCTGTACTGAGGACTGAACCTAGGGCCTTGTGCATGGAGACAAGTATTCTTCACATGAGCTACATTCCCAGCCTTATTTGTTTGTTTGTTTATTTAGAGACAGAGTCTGGTCAGTAGTTCAGACTGGCCTTGAACTGACTTTGTAGCCTAGGCTGGCCTCAAACTTGTGATGATCCTTCTGCTTCAGCCTCCCAAGTGCTGGGATTATAGTCATGCATCACCATGTCTGGCTTCTTTTTATTTTTATCTTTTTGAGACAGTGTCTTGTTAAGCTGCCCAGACTGGTGGAACTTGTGATCCTCCTGCCTTAGCCTCTGCAGGAGCTGAGATTACAGGCCTGTGTCACTGTACCCAGCTTGAACTTCTTGATCTAGGCTCCTTTCTTCCTACTTATTCTCCACATGGTTGTCAGAGCATGTCTAGAATGCAGATCTAAGCCTGTCACTCCTCTGCCCAAGAGTCCTGAAAGCATCCATGACTTTTGGGCTGAAGGTGAGCCTGTGGTCCAGCATCTAGTGCCATTCCCACTATGCCCACTCCTAAGCCGGACTGACAGTTTCAGCTCTGCCAGATGACTGACTTGTGGTTCCCTGTAGAGATCATGACTTTTTCAAAGATGTATTTCCTTCCCCTTGTTATTGAATTCTTACTTGTTCTTACAACCCTTCTCTGACCTGAGTTCCTGCCTGTTTGACCTGTGGGCACTCTGCCTCCATCATTTTGTTCTTTGTGTCTGACACTCGCTGGCACACAGGGTGTGCTCTGCACATACTAACACACTGTAGCTTGTGCTCTGTGGTACTTACTGAAAGAAAAATGAGAGGTAACAGGCTTTAATTCACATGGAGCTATAAATGAGCCATATCGGACTCTTCTGAGACTAGGTCTTGTTTTATTTTTTATTTTTTATTTTTATTTTTTGGTACCAGGGATCAAACTCAGGTCCTTGCGCTTGCACAGCAGGCGACAAAACCTGAGCTAAATCCCCAGCCTAGGTCTTGTTTTAGACACTGGTCACCTGCCGGACAAGGTGGAGAGCAAGAAGACAAGACCACAAAGCAGAGAAAAGGGTGCTCAAGGGACTGGGAGTTTGCCTGTCTTGGATCACCATTCTAAAGACCAGTGCTGCTTTGACAGGCTGCTGAATCTGTGACTTAGTTTCCTTATTTGCACGAAAAGGACATGAGTCTATAATAGGTGACTACTCAGGCTCATTTCCAACTCTGACAGTGTTCATCTTCTTTACACTAAAGTTAAAACTCTAAGTAGGAAGAAAACTCCTAAGTAGGGCATTCTGAAGCACTGTGAGACTTCTTTCCCTCCTCATTTTATTGCAAGCTCCATGGGGGCAAAGACATTGTCTTTTAGTATTCAACAAAGATAGTTTTGCATTTTAAAAATGAAGAAGAAAAGAGTACAGGAAAACTACATTAATACAATATTATGTTTGAGGATTTAAATTCCCAAGTCTGAAAATCCACTCACCATTCCCTTGGCAGCTTTCCTTCCACGCACTGTACATCCCACTAGCAGGCTGCCCCTTTATGCCAATGCATGGCCTGCCCGTGGCCCTCAGTTCTGGGAGATGGGGAATCATTACTTGATCCTCTTGGCCCTTGAGTGTTTTAACTCCTCCAAGTTAATGCCTGTTCTTTAGTGGTACATTATCTTCTAGCAAGGTAGGCATTTATAATTTATATACTGTGTGCTGGCTTAAAATAGAGACAAGAGGATAATCAGCATCCTGAAGCTTCCAGTTTTCCAAAATAACATTTCTTCAGTGAAGTCAGCCTATAGGAATTAAAACTTGCTGTGAGTTAAAAAACCCTTTGTCCAGGGCCAGGGATTTAGCTCAGTGGTTCTGCCGTCTGCCTTGCAAGTACAAGATCCTGAGTTCGATCCCTGGTACCAAAAAAAAAAAAAAATCCTTTGTCCAGTTGTCAGACAGGGAAGTAAGTGGGCAAGTCTGTTATTCTACCTTCTAAAAGGGGGAATCGACTTTTAAAAGATAAAACTCATTATTTTGTGTTTTATTTTATGCAAAATATGTCTAAGGATTCCAGTCTTTGTCGTTAGTATTCCAGGGGTCTCACTGTAGTCAGGCTGAGGATGGCCAGATGAACAGATGGGCGAAATGCCCCAATGTGGGGCAAACCCCAGCAGGTGCTTCAACCACTTGTCTGCTGCGGTCTTGGTGCCCTTCTACCTGGGTTGCTGACTTTGATCGCCAATGCAGAGAAGGGGTGCTTCTCCTGTTGAGGGCCTCAGAGAACGCATTCATTTATGTGTATTAACAAATAGAAGGCCAGCCAGGGATTTAGCTCAGTGGCACTGTGTCTGCCTTGCATGTGCAGGGTCCTGAGTTCGATCCCTGATACCAAAAAAAAATAGAAGGCCTACTTGAAAACTCCCCTCTAGTCAAGTCAATCATATACCAGGCGCCTAACTTATTTTTTCTCTCTAACAAGTTTCTAAAGCTTATATCCCCCCGCATTCCTTTTTTATTATGTATCTTCATTGTGCCTTGGGTGGAGATATTTTTTTTCTTTCCTTTTCCCCTTTCAATTTGAACCTAAGGGGCTGGGGATTTGCCTTGCTGCCTCACAAGCACAAGGTCCCGAGTTCAATCCTTAGTATCAAAAAAAAAAAAACAACCAAAAAAAAAATTGAACCTAAGGCCTTTGTACATGCTAGGCAAGCACTTACCACTGAGCTACATTCCCACCTCCCCACTTAAAAAAAATTTTAAACATTTTAATGTTTACTTTTATTAATGTGGGTTTTCAGTACCTAATGTTTACATTCATCTTAGGGAGTAGGTGCATGCATTTAATTCTTTTTTTTTTTTTCTGTACTGGGGATTGAACTCAGGACCTTGCACTTTCGAGGCAGGCCCAGTGCCACTGCGCCGATTTATAGCTTGCACTGCTCCCAAAATCCT